AACCTTGAATACTGACAGAATAATTTTGCTCTTAAAAACAGTCATCAATTTGTTAAAGTAAACATAGACTCAAGTTTTAGTATGGAAAGACAACTTAGGACAGTGATGGATCATGAGTTTACAAACTCAAGATGATTCCTAATAGAAACAAAACATAACAATGCTTATTCACAATGTATCACAAACTTTCATCATATTTGTATTTTCTAGCAAGAGTTCATAATCAAACAAACACCTCTAAGTCCTAACAAACTGTTTTCAATTTAACAAGAGTATGCTATACATTAATAGACTTGTCATGACAACAATCAAGTTAATGCTTTATATAACAGTTAACAAACTTCAAGCTACCATACATAAGTTTTAGTTAACAAACAGCTATGAACTTACAACACTCAATCATTTTGACAGCACAATGACAATTTAGCATGACAATGGCTAAACCATCTAAGCAAAGCATGATTCACTTGATATTACATTTTCATGACAGCAAGCATGTGCCAAGCACAAAAACAGCAGCTCAAAATCAGCACAGGGGTAAACTTGGTAAAGCACAGTTAAACATCAAACTTAAATCACATTTTTTATGATGGCTACAGCCTTAACAGTATGCATAAACAACATTTGATCATGAGGAATAGGTGTTAACAAACACATACTTAAAATAACCGTTGAAACTCAAAGAACCAAATGTTTATGGCACATGTGAATAAATGCAAACATATCCAATATCATGGTCAATAGTCAATGATGTATATATACATGAAAGAAAACAAAAGTTAGAGGTCACCAACCTCTTGTAGACTTCCAAATACCAGCTAGTTGCCCAGACAGAAAACCAGAGATCCTTTTAGAGCAACTTGGTGAAGCTTGCCTCCTCTTGAAGAAATAACCAAAGCTTGATGACAGTTTGAATAAACTCACTTCCAGCTATAATTTATGATAATGAACAGCTATAATATCATGGATATGGTGTGTTTTGAGTGTTAAATTGGTGAGAGTGGATGCAAGTAGTGATTTGGTGTGAAAAGTGCCCAAAAGTCAAACTATTGTGGTGTGAAGTTTGACTTTTTGATTCATGGAGTTTTTGGTGAATGTGATGATTGGAACAACTCTAAATAGTTATTTTGAGGTTGTGTATATGGTTTTAGTGAGGTTTGAATGGTTGGAATTGAGTTGGTGTGGAATTTGCGCAAAGGCAATTTTGGTGGTTTTGGAGGGTTTCTTTACTTTCAAGCAAAGAGAGGAAGGAGATGAGAGTTGTGTTCTCTGGTGTTTAGATCTGCTCTAGTGTGGTTTGGAGAGTGGAGAGAGCCCTCCTTTTATAGGCCAAGAAGGCTGGGGCAGAATTGTCATTCTTGAATTTGCAAGCTTGCATTGGTGGGAAACCTCAATACCTCAAAAGTGTGTCTGCTGGTTTAAGGTTAATTCCATCAGTTAATGTCCTTCTTAACAGTTGTCCTCAAGCTGGCTGTGTCTAGGATAGCTCTGCTGCAGCAAACCCAAAGCTCCTTACACAATTTGCTTTTGCTTTTCAACATGGTAATCAAAGAGATTATGGTGAGATTCTTGGTTTTCTCTTGGTTTCCACCCACATCAGGTCCCAACCTGATTCTAATACCACACTAGATATACTTCTATGGTTGGAAATGAACCATGTGGTTGAAAATCAATTTATGTTGAATTTTGAGAAGTTAACAAACCAATGCTCAGGCCCAACTTGCACACCTCATAACTCTCAACTCACAAGGGCTATGAATGAGTTCTATAACTTTCTGGAAATCCATCATGGAGCTCTACAACTTTCATGTTTTTGAGATTTTCAAATTCTGAGTGGAACTAGGTTGAAAAACCCCTCCAAGTTGGCTGAAAACATGACTTTCAAGGCCAGAAAACTTGGAAATTTCCAAGTGTTTTGCCCTCTTGAAATAATTTTGGCTATAACTCCAATTATATGCATTTTCTGCTCATGGACCACTTTGGGACTTTTGTAGGACTTGTCAAGAGCTTTCCAATGAGTTTTAAACCAACTCAATTGGATGTGTGGTTAGGGAGTTATGGTCTTGCCCTTTTCAAAACCCTAATTTCCTATTTTTGTGATTAATCCATAACCCTTGATCCAATGGTCATGAAAATTCATGGGTAGGTGTAATATGTCATTAGGAACATTTTTTATTCCCACCTTGAGGTCAAATTCCTTATGGTTGAAGAGTTGACTTTTCGATCAACCGAACGATCGATCGATGACTACCGAGTCGACTGTTGATGTTCCGGGTCTTTCGAGGCCTTGAAACTTCTTGAGTAGACTTTACTAATCCATATGAACTCCATGGACTTTGATCCCACCATTGAAACACCTTTTAAATCCAAAGTCAAACTATAGTTGACTTTTCCTGATCGAAAACCCTAATCGGGTATCATGAACTGCACTGTTCTTGATCCTTGGGCGACAACCTCAAATTGGATTCATACTTGATCCATTGGAATATAATTGATGATGTGGATACTTATTTCATGGAGAATCAATCCAATACGTTGACTAATTAACCATCGAAACTTCGATTCTCGGCTGTATGGAACCCTAATTCCTGTATCTTAACAAAGACCAACTTGAAACATGTTGAGGTTAGATAATCAAATGCATATGACCCTAAAATGATGATGAAGATCTAAGGGGTCAAAATTTGAGGTGCAACACCATTTAAATCGTATCATCTTTGACATTGTTCGATCTAATATAGTTCAATTATATCTTTGTGACTCTTCTTTATAAATTATTTTACATACAATTATTCCTATAATCAATTCCATTTAAAGTCGTCGTGGAGACACCATATTTGATATGAAGGCAAGAATACTTAGTTTATCTTTATGATCATTTGGGTTGTAAGGTTTGTTAAGTAAACTTGATCACAATCTAGATGAAAATTTCTTTATGGAATATCCTAATGAATATTGGGGACACATATTCTATAATACTTTATAGAACAAAATTATTTTTTTAGTAGAACTAGAGCCTTCCATTAGAGAAAATATGTATCTAAAGGGGTCAATGGGAGTGATGTAGAACTTGAAGAAATTCAAGCAACATAAAATACATATATTTATGAGAATAGAACATGAACCAATTCAATAAAGTTTTTTTTAAAACTATTGGTACATGTAGTACGGGATCTAGAAAAGATCTTTCCAAGTATCATTTGAGAAACTCAACTAAGTATCGTCAGTAATACTTAACTAAGTCTCGCTTGAGGGACACAACTAGGTCTTGTCAAGAAGACTCAACTAAGTCTCGTTTGAGGGATTCTACTAAGTCTCCTAAGGAAGACTCAACTAAGTCTCGCCTGAGGGAATCAGCTAAGTCTTTTTAGGAAGCCTTAAATATGTCTCGTCTAAGGGACTCAACTAAGTCTCGCATGAGGGACTCAATTAAGTCCTGCAAGAAAACTTAACTAAGTTTCACTTGAGGGACTCAACTAAACATGGTCAAGAAGTTTCAACTAAACCTAGTCTAGAAGATTCATCTGAAGCCTCAAGAACTAAAGGTGAGAGTAAAGATTCGATTGGGCTCCTATGGAAAGCCCGATGATGAGTAAAGGATTAAAATACTTCAACCTCTATGAGCCATCATGCTTGAGAGACTATGTAGTTTTATAATTGGAAGAGATCATCGGGGCGGGGCGAAGGCATACGTTTTGTCTATCATTCTTCCCAAATCTCCCTTTTATTGGTTTGAGCGCCCCTTTTTCGGATATGTGACCTAAATCCTTAGTTTCTTTGCCAATAACGTGTGGTCGTGTATAAAATATGTATTGGGTCAACAAACGTTACATAGGAAGTCGTGTGATTTAACTACACTCCCTAAATTTCACAAAATCAACCACGCATTCTAGGAGTGGTTACTACATCCTAGGAAAACATGGGTCCAAGCCCAGTGGACTATAAATACACCAGTATCGTGATAAATAGAGGGAGAACTACAACACATAAATACACATATACAGGAGCTTCTCACTCCATGTGAGCTAGCTCTAATTCTAACACAATCTTAAAGCCTCTAACGACCTTTAATCACTAAAGGTTGCCATACATTTGTACTTTTAGCGAGTATAATATCACATTCCATTTATGGTGGATTTTGACAACAAATTTTCAAAGTTCTTTTATGTTATTAATATTTTTGACCACTTCAAAAGGCCTTGCTATTCTACGGAGAAAAAAATGGACAAATGATAAAACATGGCACTCAATTAAAACTGAGGGTATAGGAAAAATTAGAGAATATTAGTTAGCATATTAAAGGTTTAAACGCAAAAACAACAACAAAAAATACGGAGGTGTGAAAAATCAATGCAATGATTAGGGTTGTCCATGTCACTGATAAAGATATCATAATACTTCAGAGAATCAGAAAGAAATAAAAGTATATTTGTTGATTATGAGAAATGAGAAACTATTATTACAATAGATCAAATAAAAATATATTTGTTGATTACGAAAAATGAGAAACTATTATTACAATAGATCAAAGATGTATAAAATATAGATAGTAAAAGAAACCACTCTACTTCAAAATAAGTAAAAACGAAGAGAGAAAAATTATGTTACCTGCTTTAGAAACTTCAAGACCTTATTTGACCCCTTAGTTAAATATTGAGGCGTGGTATACACATTTGTTGCAAGTAGAAATCGTTAAACAAATACAACTTTCCTTCATAATTGTAAGCAATTTATGGCAAATGTCTAGGAGGCATATTAAGTAAGAAAATGATTTGGATAGTTTTTTTTTTAGAAATATTGTGATTGAAATTCATTGTCATTCATTAAAAATATGCTGCTAGATTGAACCGAAAATGTATATAAGAATTACAAGTTCTACTTTGGAAATAACAAACTATAGTTAGTAGGAACATCATTTGCATAATTGATTTGAAGAGTACACCAAATTTCATTTTTATGATACTCTTTTTCCATGATATTTGTACTTAGTTTTATTACTATTACAATTCATAAGTCATTCCAACTTTGACCATACGTTTGTGAGGAATATCAAATAACTTTTCACTCTGTCTCAAGTTTTTCTTCAAAAAATTGTAGGCATAATCAATCAAAATTCTTTTTCCAAAACCAGCTCCCTTACTAGAAATCACCTCATTTTCACCAATCAAATGCACAACACCAGCTCTTGATGCTTTCTCAATTGTCTCAATCTCTTTTTCAATTGCCTCTTGGACTCTTCCTCCCTCACTAATTTCTTGTGATTTATCAAGATTCAAATTTTCATCGGTTTCACCATCTTGTATCATTTTTTGACTCCAATAATATTCCTTAACAATAAACTCCTTCAACCTCTCAACAATTAACTTTTCAAAAGGCTCTTTCTCGTTGCGGACATCAGTGTATCCATATCTAACAACACATCGGAATACATAGAATTCTTTAGGTTGTACTCGTCGAAAAAGAAACCTTTCTCCAATTGGAACTTTGCTAATAGGCAATGATTTAATGGAAACAAAGACAAGGACAGAGTGTAGTGCCGGAACATTTGCAACATAATGCTTGAAAATTGGTGGAATACCTTGAACAAGCTCAGAGTAAAAGATTGCAAGACTGGGAAATCGACATAAACTTGTGTTACAAGCAACTTCTCTGAACTTTTCAGGTGAAATCTTGTGATCAAGTTCGTAAAAGTACTTTTTTCGGTACACACTATTCCAAATGTACATGATGAACATTAGAATAGCGGAAAATGCAAGAGGAAGATACCCTCCTTGGTCAAATTTGTATAAAACCGAGCTTAAGTAAAGTAGTTCTACAGAACCAATGACGAGAACATAGCTAAGGATCAAAAGCATGTGAGTCTTCCATATCACAATCATGATTAGTGTGAGAAATGCAGATGTTAGTGTCATCACAAACACCACTGCTATCCCTGCATTGCACAAATGTATCCAAGCAGAATCAGAATCTTCATTGTTTCATAATAGATAATGTGATTGTAAGAGAATTAGGAGTTACCATAGGCATTTCCAATTTTTGTGGTGGTTTTAAAACCAACGGTGATGGCAATACAAGCAATCATGAGGATGTAATTAACTTCAGGAATATAAACTTGTCCTTCATACTTTTCCGATGTATGTACAATTTGCACGCGAGGAAAACATCCTAATGATAGAGATTGTTGGATTATAGAAAAAGCCCCTGAGATCATCGCTTGAGAAGCTATAATTGCTGCCAAAACAGCAACCACAAACATTGGCCAATACATAGAGTCTGCAACACATGTAAACCTTCATCAGTTAGAGGCTGCAACACTGATTTTAGACCTGGAAATCACAAGAACTATGTTCATGATTTTAACTTGAAATTACCTGGTATGGACTTATAGAATGTGGCACTAACAAGATCGTTGTTTTTGCGAAGAAATGACGCTTGTCCGGCATAAGCCAAAATAAGAGCAGGATAAGTAACACAGCACATACTTATCTGTATAGACCGAACTGTGAAATGTCCAACATCAGCAAATAATGCTTCAGTTCCTGCACAAATAAAAAACTTCACATCAGATCAAGATTCTAAAGTTGTTAAAACTGATTATTATCTGTATAAATGATATGATTATGAACCTGTTGTACAGAGAACAACGCCACCAAGAGAAATCCAAGCATTTTTTTTATTCCTGATGAAATAATCTACGATGTATTTCGGATTCAAAGCTTTTATAACCGATGTATCATGCCTGATGAAATTGTACAAACCAATACCGGCAATGAGAGTGAACCATATACAGATTATGGGAGCGAAACTGTAACCAACTTTATCAGTTCCAAATCTCTGAACCATGAAAAGAAGAATCAAGATTGCCACTGATATCCAAACAATTTGATCTGCATATGCACAAGCAACAGAAGCAATTAACTTAAATCCAAAACCTACAACCATAAACCCTAAATCCTAAATTAAGAACAAAAGTATCTACCGTCAGTTATTTTGCTAGCAGCTTCCTTGATCCCTCCCACTGCAGATAAAACTGCAACCAATTGAAAAAAATTATTAACCATACATCAATATTATGTATTAATTGTTAAAATACAAATCTTACTAACCAGATATGCAAGGTGTGAGAACACCATCACCGATGACCATGGAAGTTCCGAGCAAAGTAGTAAACAAGAGGAAAATCTTTGTACCGTGACTGTTCTCAATCATAGATTTAAGCTTGGACGCTCTCTTTTCACGGTTGTTTGGCAATTTCAGCTTATAATTAGACACCTCTGCATCCTCTAGTTGTTGATTCGGAATTAGTCCCACTTTCGCGTATCGGCATATAAGAGAGTACAAAGCAAATGTTCCACCTAACAAATTATATTCAAATTCTCAAAAACTCTTATATCATAACAAAAACACAACACGGACACGGACAAATACTCGTATAATTAAATATTAAGTACTAACCATCTCCATTATCGGTGGCTCTTAGGACGATAAAGACGTATTTGAGAAGAGAAATGAGAGTGAGTGTATAGAAGATTAACGAAAGAACTCCTAATATATCATCGTTGTGGTTAATACCGTCCGGGAAGACGCTTGAAAACACGTACAACGGCGAAGTTCCGATGTCTCCATAAACTATTCCGAGACTTTGAAACGCCAGTTGCAGTATTAACGCCATTGATGGCCCCTGCAAAATCATTATTCATTAATATTATACAAAATTATTATTCCATGAAAGATGGAAGAAAGCATGCATACGTTAGAGTGATGGAGGTGAGAGGTGGTGCGAGATTCAATCTCAAGAGAATCATTTCGTCGAAATTTTTGTTGTTTCTGGTTTTGGAGTTGTGGTATAGTAGGATCAGGATTATCAGAAACATGGATCTCTTGAAAATCCTCCATGTTCATCACAACTATTTCTTCTTCTTTTTTTTCTAAAGCCATTTTAATTAAGAGAGTAAGTATATTTTTTTTTTGTTAATTACTTGAGTTGTGAAGATGTTTGTTTAAATAGAGAAGATTAGAAGAAGGATCATCTGTTAAAATATCTCATGATGTCAGCTTAAGCGCGTTTTGTTTTACTATGTAAAGATGCGTTACATTAAATGCATAATCTCTATTGATTTACAAATTGATGTCATATATATATATATATATATATATATATATATAATCAAAAATTTATTAATTTACAATATTATTTCTATTAAATATTTTCTTAAGTATTACGGTTCTCCCTCAAATGTGGTGTAATTGTAAAAGTATACTATTATACTAGTGTGTGAGTTCAATAAGATTCCGTTTTAATCTCATTAGCAAGAGTTAATGAAGATTTTCTATGGATTTTAGATGTCTTTAATCTCCACTAATTTCTTTTTAGGTGGTTCATAATTTATACACTAACTTGTAGGCTTAATCGTCATAAATTAAATTAATAGTAATAAATGGACATGTTCTCTTACTTACATGTGATCATTCAACATAAATTAATTTCCTTGTTGTCGTATCGGAGAAAGACCACTTATGATTATTCACACGACTTAATTCTTTTTTTTAGATTGGGTGAACTCTACTAAGTTCGAATATAAATATATGTTTATGAATTTGTACATACTTGTATTATTCTTGGAAAGACACATGTTACTTTTGGTCGATCGAGCTCGTGCCTATTCTGGGTGAGCTCATGTTACTTGGGCAAGCTTGTGTCCCTTTTGGGCAAGTTTGTGTTACTTTGGCAAGCTTATGACACTCTTGAGTGCACTTGTGCTATTTGGACGAGCTCGTGCAACTTGGGAGAGCTTGTGTTATTTTTAGACAAATTTGTGCTACTTGGATGAATTCTTACTATTTAAGAGATTAGTTCGTGCTATTTGGACAAACTTATGTTACTTGAACAAACTTATATTATTTGCGCGAGCTCATACTATTTTGAACGAAATTATGATACTTAAGAGTTCTCTTATTTTAATAAACTTATGTTATTTGGCGAGTTGATGTCATGTTATTTTTTCTCATTAAAAATGGACGAGTTCGGGTGGGGTTGAGAGTTGAGAGGAGTCAGACTTTGTTTCAATGCTTGATCAAAATTAGAACTCCTTTCTTTTTCCTTAAGTTTAACCTTTATATTGAGGTTTTCTGTTCGAAAAGTTGTTCTTTAATTGAATAAAATCGCGATGCAATCCTTTATTAATTTGATGTGAAAAAAATATTATAATAATAATTAATCATTTATCATTCAATTATTTTTTCTTTAAATTCTCTCTCTCAACGTCTTCTCTTTCTCCCTCCCCTTTAAACTCTCAAGTTAATAGAAAAACCAGCCTCACGAGGGAGGAAAATTTATTGCACAATTTCAAATTTATTTATCATAATTAATTTTCACTTCCACTAAAAAATATTCACCACACATTGTTATATTCTTCTCAAATCTCAAGTGATTATTATTGACTATACCTCTTAGGTGTGAAAGCAAACAGAAAATTAGGATTGTAGTCTCAAAATTATAAGGATTTGATGAAGTAGAGTTCACATGTCATCTAGTTTCTATTCAGTCAAAGTTTTTGTTCATTAGTCACGTGATTATTGTTTTCAGCTTCCAAACTTCACTTGGTGGCAACATGCAATTTCCATTGAACCTTTTTCAATTTTTTCTGCTCCATAATAAATATGATTGTTTTAAAATTATTCTTAAGATGAAAATAATTTTAAAATTGTAGAATTGATTTTAACATATTTATTTTTTTAAAATAAAATTGACTTTATCTCTAAAATTAATTCTATTTAAAATTAGAATTTATAGTTTTTAAGTTTAAATGTGTTTTTTAATTCATTTTATATGAATGTGTATTCACATAAGTTGCCTGTTGACTTTTTTTCACATGAAGTTAAATTCAATGAACAAAATTTTAGGATGATAATTTTGAAATTAAGAGAAGAGAAGGACCACTTACACAAATTGCCTGTTGCCTTTTTTTAATATGGATCATCATGATGAAGATGGCAAATTATAGTAGTCAACTGTTCAAAACCCAAATTGGAAATCACTTTTCACTATATTTAAAATTTAAGATAAAGAATCATTTATTTTAATTTTAAAAAATGTTAACTTGTATGTTAAAAACAAGGCGCCAGTGAAGAGTTTAAAATCAGTACAAGGGTTGCTATTGCAGATCTCTCAATCAAGGACTGCTTAGGTCCCTTCGGTTAAATAATTTAATATAAAAATATTTGTTTTAAAATTTGTGATTTTAATTTTAAAATCAAAAATAATTTTTTTAACAAAATCCATTATACTATGTTTGAAGTGTTAGTTCAACTTCAGTTATAAGATCATAAGAGTTTAATCATATAATTTTAAAACACCAAAATTAAAATTTGGTTTAATTGCAATTTTGGTCCTCTAATTTTGTGTTTTTTTGAGTTTTGATCTTCCTATTTTAAAAACCACGATTTTGGTTCCTTTTTTAAGTTTCAAGATTAATATTAGTCCCTTTGTCATTTTAAGTCATGGTTTTAACGAGGTAGCGCGTTGAATGCTGATGTGGCATTTCCATGTCAGTTAAAATGGTCTTTTTAAATTTAATATAATTTCCATGTCATTTAGATTTTTTTTTATTTCATTTTCAGAAAATTAATAAAACCTAAATGTAAAACCCCAATGTTTTCATCTTCAACCCATTTCTTCAAACCTAGTTCTGGAATGAAGATTCTTGGTCTTCACCTTTCACGAACGAATCTTTCCCTTTCACGCAAGTAATTAAAGATTCTATATCAAACCGCAGCTCGCTTCAAATCAAACCGCATCTCGTTTCCCGTCGCCTCTGAAATGGAAAACCTAAGCTCGTAAGGGTTCTGGGGAAATGACCCAGGGTTATACTTCCTAGTTTAGACTCGGGGTTGCTCATCACTTTAGTCAAGTAAAACTGTACATTTGGGAAACTAGAATTCCGTGAGAGGAAATCAAGAATACATGTAATAATTGAATTTAGTCAACATTTTGCCATTTTCTAGTTCGTTTTGTGTTTGCCCCAAAATGCAAGTCATGAAGTGGCAATGCAAATTAAACATAAACATTTAGTGCAGTATTATGTTACCGACATACTGAGATGCTTCTTGTTTGAAGCTTGAACTTTCACACTTAACAAATGAATAGGAGCTATTTTTTTGTTAAGTTTTTCTGCTAACTTTGCTTCAGTAAGGTAATTAATGAAATGGTTATAATTTTGTAAAGAACATTTATGCTAAACATTGTGTCACTGAGTTGCTTCTTATTTAGAAATTGGACATACATATTTTTGTACATGGTTTATATCCTCTCCACTGCCTTTCTCTTTATTTTATTGAGGAACCTAACAGTAATTATTTGTGTTTGCATGATTGTCTTAACCAGTGTTTTAAAAATCGGACAAGACCGGCCGGTCGGACCGGTCGGATCAGGAACCGGCCTAGTAACCGGTCTGATTTACTAGTTCGATCGTCTATGTCATCAAACCGGTAAAAACCGGGAAAAACTGGGTTGGACCGGGAAAAACCGGATTTAGGATTGGACCGGTTCTAATGCATTTTTTATTTTTAATTAAAATTTAAATGCAAAAGTTATAAAAACTAAAAAAAAAATTGTTTAAAATCAGATTATGTTGCAATTATTTTGTAATTTTGTATTATTTTGTTATGTGTGATACATTTGTTTAAAATTTGAATTTAAATTATGAACTTGTGAATTTATGATATGATATTTTCAAAAAATTTAAGTACTAGTTATATTTTTTTAGAAACTGAATCATCCGGTTCGATCGGCTTTATATCTATATAATGACAGGTCTATTCAACCAAGTTATCCGATTTAATCTGGTTTAGTCATGCGGTTCGACCAGTGACCCAGTGGTTCGACCGATAAACCAGTGACCCAATACCCTCACTGGTTCGATGACCGGTCTGGTTTTTAAAACAATGGACTTAACATAGTTGGGATTCCTCTACCATATAGTGATGCCTTTGCACTCCATTTCTGCTTTGATAGAAGAAAAAATTATTTGGTTTACCTACTGAAATGCATTACCACAATAGAAAGCAATTTTTCCAAACGATCACTTCTAATGTTTGTTTCTACTTGTTGTCATATTGAGAAACCTCTGAAGTTTTGTTCTTGGTTAAATGCAGACAAATAAAGTAAGAAATGAATTCAATACAGACATGTCCAACTGTCAAGGTTAATGGTGTTTCAACTGTCACATCTACCATTTCTGCTACGTCATAGAAGCCATGTTACCAATGTTGTGCTGCAATCACTAGCATACAGTTTTGGCTTGTGTATCTCAGTTTTCATGAAGGTTCCAAAGTTGCATATTCAACTACACACACCAAGTGTGATTTGAGCTGCTACAGGATGAAATATGATAAAGTACTGTGTTGTAGTTACCTCCTGAAATATGTGTTAGTGTTGTGGTAGTAAAGTGTAGCATAGGTTGAGCATTAGGAAGGGCGGTGGGATGATGTAGCAGCCATTAGGAAAAGAATGAAACAGAAACAGATAACAAAAGAAGCAGGTTCTAGTTGGATTGAGGTTGAGAACCAGGTGCATAAATTCCATGTAGGAGATACTTTACACCCTAAAGCTAAAAAAATATATGGAAAACTTGATGAATTGGCTTTAAAAATAAATAATGTAGGATATGTTCCAAACACAGATTTTGTTCTTCATGATGTGGAGGATGAACAAAGGAACAATATCTATTTCAACACAGTGAAAAACTTGCAGTCGTGTTTGTGGTGACTGCCATTTGGCGATAAAGTATATATCAACTGTCACTGGAAGAGAGATTGTTCTGAGAGATTCAAACCGGTATCATCACATCAAGGATGGCAAATGCTCTTGCAATGATTATTGGTAATCCAACCACATGAGTTTCAACTTCTTGGCCTGTAAATTTTGTAGATTTATTCAC